CATTACTACTAGGAGCAAGGACGCTACTAGTAGCTCCTGGCATCACTACTAGGAACAAGAAGCTACTAGTAACAAGGGCTATTGAAATATGGCAATGGGACCACGCTGACAAGCTAGTTACAAGTTCTGTGGCTCCTGCCAGTTTGCACCTCCTGCAACTGCCACACTTCGACGCAGTTCCTGGCGGACTTGGTAAGAATGAACCAAAACTTCAAAGCATTTGATTAGTTTGCCGAGCAAAAAGAAAACAGCCTGGGTGAGCTTCACAGCAGTTTGGCTGGTTTTACTCTATTTTTACCGCTTACAATCCCTTTTCAGATGTCTCTTGTCTATCTTTGCTGTGCTGGATAATCTACAAGTTGTTTCGATCCAATCGTCAGTTTTTGAGCAGGAGCTGTCGTGCTCATTTGTCAGGTGCAAGCAAGCTCCAATGCGCCTCTTCGTGACCCCAAAGGGTGCCAAAGAGAATTGGTGGGCTCGGATGGTTGAACTGTCGCAGCCAGTCCAAGAAGGAATCTGCTGACTCATGCTCTAGCCTCAAACGATCAAAGAAACACGAGAAGGTTGTTGTGCGAGAGCAAACGGGGTGAACGTCCAATGATTGCAAAATTGTTACTGTACATGTACATATGATCATGTATGTATGGTTGGAAGGTCAAGCCAAGCAGCAAGTGCCATTGTAAGTTCTCTTTGCCTGACTCCACCAGTCTAGCAAAGCCACGCTGAGGATCCTTGCTCAAGGCATCTGGGCCCAGGCCCACCACATGGAGCGAAACAGGCTCATAGAAAGGGCCTCGCAAACTTCCCGTCCGAGCAGGCCCTTTCGGTGAAGAGTGGAATGAGTTCAACCGGGTGTCCCAAACTCAGGCTTTCGGTGTTCCATGTCTCCACCGAAAAGATCCGATATGCTTTAATGCCTTCGGGTGACCTGTCCTCGTCGCCCCGAAAGATACCCACTGACATTATCACCAGGTGTGGCTAGTATGACCGTTATGCCATGACTGTGATCCAAAGAAGTACATGGACGAGGTTGATATGGATTTCAATGAATTCGATTATCTTTTGGCGTGGTATGTTATAGAATGCTGCCAAGAGACTGAGGGTTGTCAATACCGCAGCTTTCCTCATGTAGGGATTCAGAAGGACCAAAGCAAGAGTGCTGGGCATGACGCATAACAACAAAAGTGCAAGCCTAAGCGGGGTCTAGCTAGTTTCATCCAGCCTCCAAGTCTGCTGTCCGAGCTTTAGACCAAGCATCACTACCTCCTCTGGAAGCTCTCCACTGGTAAGCAAGAAGTGCTTGGATGCGCCACCCAAACTCACTGAGTCTGAGCCTGCACCTGGACAGGTTCAAGCTGTACAAAAGACCAAAGTTGACCAAAGGTCTCTTAAAGGAAACCTAGAGGCCAAGTTGAGACCAATGGTCTGACCATCATTTCGCCAGGGCCAGGGTCACTTCCCCCGCTGCGGGGGACAGATTTAACTTGCAAACATATCGACATGTCTTCCTCAGGAGAGCACTGAAACCCCACAAGAGATCCAGAAGGTCGTGAATTTCTTCCAGACCGCGGTCGTAGGCGCTGCGGGCCCATCGAGGTGGTGGAAGACCTCCCATCGAGGTGGCAAATCCAATTTCTTCCACATCAAGCATTCTTCTGAATCTGGTCACGCACAAGGAAGGACCTTTTCGGTTGAGTGCCCACCACACAGGCTGAGTGCAATTAATGTGGTTTTTCTTTTTTTCTTTCCACACAACTATGACTATGAGGACATCGCTTGCCTGGAACAGTCGGAACATCCACACTTGGTGGCGTCACTGTTGAGAGCAGTGCAGACAGGTCGTAGGCTTCCTTTCGATGATGGAAAAGAACCAACTTCCACTCAGTGCCAAAATTTAGAGTTAGATTTGTTGGTTGTTGCCTTCACACTTCACACAAAAAATTTGGGGTTTCAATTGGTTTCAAGCTCCTGTGTGAAATGGTGGTCCGACCGCGGCAGCTTGGAGAGCACCTGCCCGGTAACGGTCACTTCAGGTTGAACAGCCGGGTACGGCTTCCGATGGCTTTGGATTGCCACTAATTTGAAAGCGCAGTTTGTGGATACTGTAGTTGCTGAGAGCCAGTCCCATCATTGAATCATTGCGGTTTCTGCACTGTCTGCAATGCAACCCTCTCCAGCCTCCAAGTTGGTCCTGGCTAGTGCCATTGCATCCAGCCCAGCCATGCCGTGAGGCTGTGGCTTAAGACCAGCCTCCCATCCACCAAAGTCATTGGGCAACGCATGAGTCTTCATCCATAACGCTGGGGAATAACCCAGAAGACGCAGCATCTGCACGTCAGGCAGGTCAGCGATTGGTCCAGCCTGCGTCGCAAGGACTTTGAATAAAAAGGCTCAGTGGCGCATCTTCAAATGAGTGAACATTGGCACCCTTGCAAATCTTCTAGACATCAACCCCTTGGGAACTTGCCCCATCCAGCAAATTGACTTGCAATGTAAATCTTGCCAAAGGAGTTTGAAAACCGTCACGCAATAAGGAAGTCTCCTTGAACAGCTGCGGAGCGCCTCTACGCTTTGCAACAACTCTGGTGGAAAGCCTTCCTTGGCGTGGAGGTTGACTGGGGCTGATTGGGAGTAACTTGCCTGGTTCGTTCGAGGTTCAGGTCTAGGGAGTCTGGGGTCCAAGTGACCAAACTGCGGCACACTCACGACGATATGATTGTCAAATCGCTGGCACCCTGGTTAACATTGGTCAACTGCCCCCAAAAGAGAAACAAAAACAGTTGGAAAAAAGGAGGTCAGGCCGACCCATTCTTGTGTTTTGTGGTTGACCCACGGCCACATCGACTTGATCGAGTTGACCAAGTGTCTAAGTTCTGCTCCGATGCCCAGGTCACTGCGTATCCTCGGAGCAGTGCGGCAGTGACCTCCGAAGCTGCAGCCTGGGTCAAGAAGAGGTTAGTTGGCAGCGTTGAGAGCACGGGCAACAAACATACTGCTGCAGTCAAATGCAGTCTTTTTCTCAAGAGTTCGTTGCAGGACTTTTCCTCTCTTCAAAAGAATACGAACAAGTCCTCCGTCTAAGAACTCGGCCTCATCATCGCCTATTACCAAAGCACATCTGCCAGTCCCATCATTTCGAACTCCAAAGAGTTCGGTGCTAGTGCCCAAAAGACATTGGAACCTTGGGAAGAGCAAAACAACAGTTCAGCAAGCAGCAGGATTGTTCTTGCTCTTTGCGAGGCAAGCACAAGAAAGCCGTTTAGCTGCATAGTGGGATATGACCAGACTCAAGTAGTTTCAGGCAAATCGCAGCTCTGAAGCAGGGAACACACAGCGCGACCTCTCTTTGAGGCTGACAATGTAGTGAAAGCTTCTGCCAAAGCCAGGCGCTCCTGGAGTGAAAATCAAAATCAGGTGCCTCCGGTTGCGAGATGATCTCTATGAATACTTAATTAATGCATATGATATATTAGTAATTATATATTATATATACTACAGTATTCAGCAATTGCTACTCGAGTCATTCAGCAAGAAGTAGCGATTGGTTCCACCCTCGCTCCTCTTCTTCCAATGGATGCTTTGGCCAAGCCCTTGCCACTTCCGCCTTCGCTGTTGCACAGCTCTGGTAGTTTCAAAAGAAATGTTGCCTTAGGCTCTGTGGCATTCACTCCTATAGCAGTAGTTGAACACACACACACACAAATCAAAAAAGTATATATAACTACAAGCATCCGTTAATGTCGCTGAGGCAGCCGAGACCGCACCCGAGGCCTGCCGTTGTACAGGTGCCCAGCTTCCGGAGCTTGATCCAAGTGCAGTGGCAAAGGCATCTGGCAAGCAAGCGGTGAGAACCTGTTCAGATCGATGTTCGATTGAGTTGTGTCTGGATCTGCAATCTGCTTTGTCTCAGCGTTGAAAAAACAATAACTAAAAACATCACGAGACAAAGGGAAGTGCAAGTGATGCAAAACTGGCCTCTGATTTCACCTGCTGAACAGCAGTGGTCAAGGCTGAAGCCAATCGTCGCGGGGTTACAAACATGGCATCTGCCGCTGTGAGGGCTTGCTCATGTAATTGTCTAGCAGCGGTGAGTGTTCCAAAGCAGTCCAACATGTGCTCTTGTTTTTGTTGGCAAGTGCCGCTTCTTTTGGGTGGGGCTGTCTTGATTTTTTTCAAGTGTATATGTTTGAATCCCCAGCATCTTGGGAACATGAGAAACTCTGCAAGGTATTTGACAACCCTGGATTTCTATGCATTCCAATGCATTATCCTTTCTTCAGAAAACCTTTGTGAGCTTTCTGGACGTAGGCTATGTCTGCATTCAGTGGCATGCTAGATCATTGGTCAGCAACTACCACAAGCTCGCGGAGCTGGCAAGTCCAAGTTGCTGCAAGTTGTTGCCAATTTTCATTAACATGCCGTGATCCTGCAGCATCACAGCCGTCATTGACCAGCAGGACTCAACATGCTTTGTAGAATGTCATAATGCCTGTCCTAAAAAAAAGGAAAACAGTCTTTCTCCTTTTTCGGCCTTTATAGACTTCTTTCTTGCTTTCTTGCTTTGTCTCTATTATATAGCCTATCTTGGCACCTTCTCTTTGTCAGCTCGGGCAACAAAGACGTACATCTCAGCAATCATTTGCAGAAGCTCCTGCCAGCTGCACAAAGGTCAGTATTTTCAGCAATGCTACAAAACAAATCAACAGCGCTAAGTGGAATGACATCTTCAGCATCAAAAACAACGGGGCATTGTGCTCTTTTGTGTTCTGGCCTTGGGCTTGAAGCTGTATTCTTCGAAATCACTAACCTGCGGTGCCCCGCATTCATCACTCCCAAAAAAACAGGGCGTGGTGTTGTTTCCCCAAGTGTCCAAGTGTATGTGTTTTTCGACTGACCAACAATTACTTCAAGATCTTCAAGCCTTAATGTCGAGTCAAGCTCTCATTTAGAGATATAGTACATATTACATCTCTTCTGCCTGCTCTTTTGTCTGCCGATTGAAACGCTGGGCCGCTCGGCCTGGCCTGGCCCTTCTGTGGTGCCTTGAGCTCCAAGCAACGAGGACCCACGAGTCGGTCCAAGCAGCTGTTGAGGCAGTTGTGGAGCATCTGCAGATTCAAATTTCCAAGTTGAAATTCAATCGAAGTTCATTGGAGAAAACATGAGAAAAGGATTTGTGCTTAGTTTTAGAGCGTTCTGTATCAACTGCAGAGTATCAGTTATATACATATAGATCCCGGCCGATTGAGAGCTACAACGGCGCTCAAAATGGATTTTGGCCTGTTGCAGAACATTCAGCTTGGTGATGATCACCATTGGGGCCTCTCTGCAGTCTAGCAAAAAATCATGCTCTCAAAAAGGCGTGCTTTAAACTTTGATCTTTCTTTCTCTTAACTTTGAAACAGTGCTGGTTCACCGGTTCACTGCTGGTCCAGGGGCCTCCCGACTAATGCTCCACAGTGTGCTGATGGTTCTGTGGCCCATTTGCATGTATTGTTTGCAGTGGGCCTGACGTCCACAGCCGAGCTACACAGACTGCACGCGATGCCCTTTGCTCCTAGTAGCGTCCTTGCTCCTAGTAGTAAGGCCAGGAGCCCCTAGTAGCGTCCTTGCTCCCAGTAGCGATGCCCTTTGTTCCTAGTAGTAGCGCATTTGGATTCAATTCCTCCAAACAAGATTGCACCTTGGGATCTGCGCGGCTGCGGGCATATAGATCTGTACCTTGAAAGCGGGGAATCAAAAATTGTCATCTTTGAGATAAAACATTCAAAACATGTGTAAAAACGTGTTCTAGGTTGGAGGCCATCGCTAGTAGGTTGGAGGCCATCGCTAGTAGTCTTGAGTCTCAAGAAGGTCACCTTCTCCAGTCTGCTCATCTTCAGCCACGCTAGAAGCCGCTGGGCGAGTAAGCTCAGCCTGCACATGATCGCCCTTCAAGGACCCCGGGAGCGAATCCGTTCCCCCAAGCTGACAATGTTCTCTGCTCCACTGGTAAGACCAATGTGCTGATCTACAGCACACTGACGGCCATCAAAGAGCTAGCCTCCTTTCCTTCTCTCATTAGCCGACGAATCTCAATGAGAGTGTCCATCCCCTGAAAACGGTGGAAACAAGATTAAAAATGCGCTGCATGGAATCATAAATCAAACTAGAAGGCAAGGTTGACATCTACTCCAGCTCATGGATTTATATACCTGTGTAGTCACTAAAGATATCAGAAGTATGCATAACATCACCAACAATTGACATGTGCAGCCTGACCTCTTCCAGCTGCATAGTAGCATCGTTCATCCTGCGCAGCGAAACTCCGCAAACATGAGAGAAGCGTAAAGAAAGCGAAGCAACAAAAGTAGCGGGAGCTAGGACAGCTGGATGTGTTGAGTTTGAATGTGGGCTTCACTCTATAGAGCTTTGCCGGACTCCGAAAGCACCAACGCCCTCCCCAGCCGCCGCTCCAACGCATACTCTTTTTGAGATTCTTAAATTTGCCTCGCCTGCAGAAACTGTCAGCTGTGAACTGGTCAAGAGTTGCAGCGGTCAATGGGAATGTATCCCAGTGTCGCAAACTGTTGCAAAAGCAAAATAACGCATTCCCAGCCAAGATTGGCGGCATGTTCAACATTGTATATTTAAATATACACCCATCAAACAAACTCATACTTTTCACCACTGACCATTGGCGGTCCAGCAATCAAAACTACGACCAGAAGCTCTGGTCTTATCTTCACAAGGAAGATTGCGCCATTGCGAGCTGCGCCGCTGCGCTGAAATCGCAACGCTTGCGCAACGGCTCTTCGGGTTGCGCGTGCTGCGCCCGTCCAAGGCTCCAAGGACTCGCTACAGTTTGCAGCCCATTTCACTTCAAAAGAAACAAAAACCATTGAACCCCCGACACACATGGAGCACCTTTGGGATCTGGCGATCTGAAAAAGGCCTCTTCCAAAGCCGCAAAGCAAAATCAGCAAGCTGTTTGGAAAAACTTGACTGTTTTATGGGCTGAAGAATGCCTATGCCTTGCCATGGTTGCTGTGAAAGAAGCTTCTTGGGATTGGCACAGAATAGTCGGCCCGCCGCACCTTGAAATGTGCGTAGCTTGCGGTGCAGCAGATTTTGCAGCCAAGTCGTTGAACTACAAACACTCGGATGAATTTGCATCTTTCAGAGTAAGCAGTTGATTCAGCTGATGCTGTGTGCAAACACATGGTTTACTTGCAAAATGAATGGAATAAGTAGGCTCACAACAAAGACTTGGCAATGAGCTTATCCACTCACTCACCCGCTCACGAGCAGGAGAAAAACAGATTGGATTGGCTGAGCAAGTCCGCACAAACCTGAGTCCTCTGTGAATCAATGGGCAAGTTCTTCAATAGAATGATGGTAGTCAGCATGATGATTTGAGATGGTGTAACTTCAGGGTTGGCAGGTTGCACAGAGGTGGCGGTCCCACTTGTCCAGTTGGCTGCGCTGCACTCCAGTGCGCTTGAAGAGACTTTGTAGAGCTGGTTGTGCTGCGTGCTTGACTCAGACATCGGTGGGCCTCCAATGAGCTGCGAAGATTTGCCCCTACATGGCAGCTGCCAAAGGAGTCACTCAAAATCTCCCAAAACAAACCGACCAAGTAATGTCAAGTACTGGAAGGATTTTGAGTGTATGTGATGTGTGTGTGTATGATGTGTCCTATGTCAGTGACCCCTGTCATCCAGCAGAACACATGCAGCAATCTCCTCTTGAGGCAAAATTTCTGACATCTGTCAGGGAGAAGAACAGCCAGAAAATTCTGGCATCTACCGATCTCTCAACTATCATCGCGACGTGTGACTGTTGGGAGCTCTGTTCGTTTGCCCTTTTAAATCTTCCATACATACTCTGGCATTGCTCCCGTATAAAACTCGCCACACGCGACTGTCCGCTTTGATTGCCACAGCTAGGCAGCGCTCATTTGCACCGCTGCTTCGCGCAGGTCGCTGCGCAAACCACTGAAATAGCCCACCTTGTTCCGGAGCTGCAAATTACGAACTCCAAATCTTCTGTCAATCCTGTTTGGGGCTCGAAATCGGAACGAGTGGATGGATCGGTGGGTCTAATGATAAATCGTCAAGGCTCTCCCGTGATTCAAAAAACTACAGACTCCCGCAACAGCCGTCTTTCACAGGCTCAGGTCTTTGGACTCTGACTGATCACTACTTGCAACGTGTGCAGTGACAAATCACTTAGCCTCGCATTGACATCAGCCCAGATTGATTAAAGGTGGGAACTCACGGCTGACCCAATTTGAAGGATAGCGTGGACGAAGATCGAATGCCAATCAGCCATGGCCAGCAAGACCCTACGGCAAAGCAAAGAATTGATACTTGCAGCCAAGTATCCTTGGATTCTGCACTTCATGGCCTTGGCATGTCAAGCCCTTTGACCATTGGATGATACAAATCTACAACTCAGGGACGCTCTACTGCCACTCCAGAGAGGCTCTGCCAGGAGCCGGGCGATGCCAGGGCTTTTGACAACAACTTCTGCATGGCTCTGTGTGATAAGTTATCCTGCAGGGCTGCAACTGCAGATTGCAAAACTTCACACCATGCCACGGCCTTGGTTCCCTTTCAAGTTGTCTATTTTGTTTTAGTGTCAGGTCTCGGAAGACTTGCGTTCACACCATTTCATGGTCATCCTACGTTCCAGCGCCTGCAGGCCACGCAGTGCCATGGACTGGCGCACAAACTCTCCGGGTCTATACAGGCAAGTCATAAAACTTCATAAAACCATGCCACTAGGGTGGAGGCCACCGCTACTAGGGTGGATGCCATACCATGCCTCCAGCTGCTCCAGCTCATCTTCTCTTAGATCATGGCCTCACAAGTTCCAAATTGCATGGAAGGTCGTTGTTTCCGCACCACAGTCCTGCCTGGGCTCTCAGGTTGCCGCGAGCCTTGGAGGCAGTTTTGACACAGTCAAGGCAACACCAAGCTGCCAAAGCCGCCCAAAACATCCCAAAACCATCTCTGTCAGCCTTCAGCCCCCTGCAAGAGCTTCTCGAGCCTGCGGCTGTTGACTCTGTGGAAAGCTTCGCCTTTCCCTCAGTGGACTAAACAACTCGAGCGAATTGCATCTAGAATCTAGTTGTGACACGAGCTGAGGTGAATGTTGTTTGAAGAATTCTGATGTCTGAACTGCTTGGTTCATGGCTGAACTGCTTGCATTTGCCCGCTGCTCCGTGTCAGGCGCGTCGGACTTCCCACACGAGCACAAGAATCAAGGGAGCAAAAAATGAACAAATAGTGGAAGAACAGCACACATACTGTGTATCCCAGTCAGAACTGTTGAAGCATGCAAACCGTCGCACAACAGGAATAAGAAGAGGAAAAAACTGCACCAAGATGCATGGAGCAACCAGAACCAGAACTTGTGAACCTGGTGCTACCCTTACAGGATCTTACAGGCCGAATTCGTTCCCTGCAGAAAGGAATCTAAGTTTGCTAGGTCTACAGGGAACACGGGAGTGCGAAGAAAGGGGAACAATGTGTCGCCTGTGGTGCAGCATTCCAACATGTCCCACCTCTTCGTCTGACATCTGTGGAATGGATCGTTGGCCCCATGCAGATTGCGCACCAAAGGCCAGCATCTCAGCAAAGGTGTTTGAAGAATGTGGTGCCAAGTAATCCCTGTAGAAATTCAACAAGGTGCTCTACAGGTTTCAGTTGCTCTCAATTCAGCTCAACTCAGGATTGAAAGGACAACCACATAGGACAGGGAGACTGTATCCAAATCTCACCTTGGGAGCGAAAGGGCAGCATTCTGTATCGTCATCACCTGACATGAATGTCAAATTATCCTCTCATATTCTGGCATCCTTCTGAGATGTATTCGGTCACGACATGATACATGTATTTTGGAATGCGGTCCCGTATTCCGTATGGAAGATTTATGCTTCAACCGATTTGAAGCGGGCTAGGAAGGCCCAGGTTCTCAGCGCGCCATTCACGGCCGCATGCCTCGGATTCGGCTTGGATCGCCCGCCCGTTGCACCATGTCGGCACGTTATTGCCGGAAACTTCTTGTGTCCAATCTCTTTAACAGGTGGAGGAAATTTACTTGTGAAAGCAACGATTCTGCGCATCTGTGGATGATGTCGGGCATTGCCATCTTTGAGCTGAGACTAATGAGCAAGTCGTCAGCTTGATGCAAAGCATTGCCATGTTCAAAGAGGAGAGTGTCATGGCCGTGGTCGGTTTCCGGTCAGCTTTAGCAAAGGAGAACAGAAGTTTCGGCTCTCCGTGTGCACCCTACAAGCACTTGGGAACTTGGATCGAGAACTCATGTTGATCTATATAAAGGATCGGATTCGGAAGGCAGCAGCTATGCAAGCGGCTGGACAGTTAGTTGACCCGGTCTGTGCTCTCACGGAAGAAGGTTGGCAGTGATACAAAGCTAGCTTCTGCTTACAGGCGCATGCGCGGGTCTCATTAGCCGAATTCCCTTTCAGCGCGGAGACATGGTTCGGTTCGGTCGCACCCACCCCCTGCTGTGAAGAGCCAAAGCGCCAAAGAAAAATGAAAAAGGTGCTCACCAAAGTGAAAGCGAAAAGTGCCGATGAATAAACAGAATGGAACATAGAGGTTGGTATGTGTCACATACAGTACTGCAGGTATAGAAATCGCACCCCAAAAAGTACGTAATTATTGCGTTCCCAGGCAACTTCCCCGAAGAAGCATCGTTCGCTTGCTAGTCGCTGCTAGTCACAACGAACGTCACCACTTGGACCCCCCCACAGTAAGTACACACCCAAGCCATTGAACCAAAGCAACATCCTGTAGCTGCCAATCACCCCGAACATCACCACTTAGACCCCCCACCCCACCCCAACCTCCACAGAAAAATAACGGCACATCAACCATGCAGCAATGCGCCAGCAAACCACCACACATTGCATCCCTACTGTTTTGCATCCGCAACCAGAAACCTGCACAAACTTCGGAAATGGACTGACCTCACGTGAAACCGGCACACCACTGGGAAGGGAATGAAAACGACAAGAAACAGTACCGAACGGTTGCTCCGTCGCGCAAAAATGGGTTTCACAACGACAAAGCACTGCTAAAATACGCATAAAATAAACACCGGCCGCTGCAATTCACGCGTCGCCTAAAGCGAGCCTGTCATTAGATAGATAGAGAGATAGATAGATAGATAGATAGATGGATGGATGGATGGATAGATAGAAAAATATTCTGGGTTTGAGGCGCTCGACGGAAGTCCGGCGACTGTGGGGCAGACAGCAGAGGTCCATCTGCAGGCTCC